CACTCCCCTTCTCGACTTGAGTTCCCTATTACCAGCTTTCCTGTCCCCTCCTGCCTTCTAGTCCTTGCCCCTGGGCTGGTGTGCCCCTTTAGTCTCGTTTTGTTTTATGGACCTGTCTATGACTGAAGGGTGGACCTCAGGAGTAGCTTCATTACTGAGCTAAAAGGACATCCAGGGGCCATACTCTCAGGGTTTCTCCAGTCTCTGTTAGACCAGTAAGCCTGGTATTTTTTTGTGAGTTAGAATATTGTTCTACATTTTCCTCCAGCTCTGTCCGGGACCCTCTATTGTGATCCCTGTCAGAACAGTTGGTGGTGGTAGCCGGGCACCATCTAGTTGCACTGGACTCAGTCTGGTAGAGGCAGTGGTAGTTGTGGTCCATCAGTCCTTTGGACTAATCTTTCCCACATGTCTTTGGTTTTCTTCATTCTCCCTTGCTTTAGACAGGGTGAGACCAGTGGAGTATCTTAGATGTCCACTCACAAGCTGTTAAGACCCCAGACGCTGCTCACCAAAGTAGAATGTAGAACATTTTCTTTATCAACTATGTTGTGCCAGTTGAGCTAGATGTTCCCCGAGACCATGGTCCCCACAGCCCTCAGCTCAGTAATTCAGTCCCTCAGGGCTTTTGGATGTGTCTGTGGAGCTTCCGTGACCTTGCCTTGGACAAGTTGTGCTGGCTTCCCCAGTATTGTGTACTGTCTAAGACCCCTTCTTATCTGAAATTCTTGATTTCATTTTCTGAATTTGTTGATAATAACACTCCTCCTTCAATTTTTATTTTTGCTATGCAGAAACAGAGAGAAATGGAGTTAGAACATGTTGCTCTTTCCATTTGAAACATGGATAATTAGTCTTAGTTTTTCTTACCTTATTGGAATATGATGAATTAATGAACTTCAGTTTACTTAGGGTTAAATGATGACTGTTGGAAGGAAAACGCAGTGTAGTATATAATGATGTAATTTTACTCGCAGAAGTGTTCATGGAAAGGGGTGATGCTTATAAAGATCAATATCCATTTTTAAAAAAAACTGTAGAGTTAGTGTAATCATCAGTTGTTGTGTGTATACTCTGATTTCTTTTATTCTTTTCTCCTAGGTTTCTGGTACAGTTCCGACAGGACAAAGTGTGTGTGAAGTTTATTCAGGGCAGCCAGAAAAATGGGAGTGTCCCAATGTGCAAACGGAAAAACAACCGACTCCTTGAAGTTGCTGTCCCCTAACTGGCACCTGCTGTCTGTGTTCACGGACTTGTTTCTTTGTAATAGTGCAATTGGAGTTTTGTTTTGTTGGGGTTCATTGTATGTTTGGGAATTGCCAAAGGCTAATACTGTTAGAGTCCCTTGGCAAATAAAAATATTTGACTAATCAGTTTTTATTATTGGAATAGTTGTAACCCTTAAAGTACATGTTCTGCCCAGGGGCAGGATTATAGAAACTAACAGTGTCTAGGCCATGCCGTATGTGTTCTTTTTTTAGTCATCACGTTAGATCTGTGTTCTGTAAACCAACATATTACTCATAAATCATTAATACATCTAAGTATAGAAAACAATCTTAAACATTCATTCATTCGTCAAATATTTATTGAATGCCTACTCTGTGTTAGGCACTGTGCTAGATGGTATAAAAAACTGATTAGGAACTTTTTTTCTTCTTCTTTTTTAAGGCCATTAAATTCTGGCTGATTTGTGCTGATTTAACTAGGGCTAAGAGGGCTTGAAAATGTTGAGATCAAAACAGTGACTGTTAATGATAGCATTCTTAGGAACCCTGTAGTATGATCTTTAACAATATATACTTCAAGAAGGGCTGGTCCTGGGAAGGAATCAAAATCTATGACTGGGTACAATGCCTCCACTGTGGTTCTGTTTGAAGAAGGAAAACTGACATTTGAACAAGACTTTTAATTTGTTGAGATCTCTCATAATTGCTTTTAATAGTAGAAAACAGAGTCATATTTTTTAAAAAGTGACAGAAGTAGTCCACTAAGATTATGTTTTCCTGTTTCTGGTTAACATCAGATATGATCCTAGATATGCTACTATCTGCAGAGTGTTGTTTTCACCCAAATTTGAGTGGCTATTTTCAACAACTAGGACATAGTGGCAGGCGTTCTGTACGATGTGCAATATAACATCCAAGATCTTTTTTGAAAGTTTTATTTATAATATACATTTTTGTATGAGAGAGGTGATTTGTACAGGGTGCATATTTTAATCAAGGATTAAAAATAAGTTTGTGTTAATTTGCAGGGCTTTTTTTTTTTTTTTTCCTTCAAATTTCCAGTAAGGATTATTTTGGAAACTACATTTTAAACTTTGGGATCGAATTGTTTCTTATTTGGGAGGATAATGTATATACATTGGTATTACATTAAATAATAAAATTGTTCTAATTTGGTGCCATTTTCTGGATCATAACTGTATTTTTGTATTTCAAGCTGTTTTCTTTTGTTGTATGTCAATGTACTGTCACAGAGAAAGGCTTTACAATCCAAACATTATATGTTCTCTGTGTAATTGAAT